GTCAGACAATTAGTACATTCATTGTCATATTACTATTTCCCAGCTTGACACCCAGACACTGGTGTACAGTGTTGCTCTGAATAAGCCACTGAAGCTGCGGTCAGAACAATACAGGCAGTTGCTTTTCTGGCTGCAGCAAAGTCAGTTGTAAAGGTTACCACCTGCTGTCCACCCTGCAGCTGTTCTTCACTGCCCTCGTAACTGCATGTGTGCTCTCTGCCTATGCCTCTTCTATCAACATGATCCTGTGGTTTTCAGGAACTTTTAAAAACTTGTTGTCAAAGATAAAACAAAAATTACTTGCTTTAACCGCATCTATTCCTGACAGCATATGCCAGGCGTGAGCGTGAGGGAGAAGAATTAATATAGAGGCCTTTTTAAGATAAAGAGACATCTTACAGCAATCCTGATGGCTTGTGCGTGTGGAAATCAGATTGCTTACCAGGTGTTTTGTAAGCAGAACACAGTAATTTAAAGGCAAAATTGACCCTTTGTGACCTGCATGATATGTGGAGCTAATGCACATGTTTTTCTTTTTCTCTTCTGTGCAGCTGATGTGTTTCAGAAGTAGCATGTACAGCTCAGATCTGCAGAGACAGGTACTTACCTCCTAATATAAAAGTAAGTCGGTCCAACATCTCTTTATATACCCTGATGCTCCAACAAACAGATCTTCCTTGGATCTTGCAGTGACTATCAGATAAGCCATCTGATACCTTATTTTAAACCTGCTATACCTCAAGCAGAGATCAGCTGCAGGTATCTTAACAAGAAGCCACTCTAGCCAATTCTTCATTTTAATCTATGATAAATGCTATGTCCTAGGATTGCCTGATCTCATGGGGAGGAAGAAGAAGACAGATGGAGGAACTATTTGTTTACCTAGTGAAGTACAAACACATTCTTATTTTAGACCAGAAGCTGTTTGAGGCAATGACTTTCATACATTATGGCTGTGTCTACTGCTATTTTAGCGTAGGGCTTCGGTTTATCCAGAGGTCCAGATTCTCCAGTATCTCTATGAGCAACAAAAAGGCTGGCTTTCTGCCTCATCTTCAGAAAGACTCAAATGGTCATTTACAAAATGAAAGTAAAGTTGAAAAGTGGTTTATTCATATTTCAGCAGTGACCCTACAAGTTCTATGGGTGCCATTGTGCCCACACCCAAGTCCTACTCTTCTTGTTAATAGAGATGTATATATTAGTGGATTAATTGTTTGCAGCTTCTGGGTAGATCAAGACTGTTCCTGCTCAGAATATGAGCTTAGGAGATAGTATGAAGCAAGCAGAATTGTGAGTTGTTCTTAGCAGGAGATGTTGAGCTGCTTCTGTTGACAAATAGGCAGAGAATGTAGTATCCACTTTTTGAAAAACAAACAAACAAAAAACCCAACCTACACTTTCTATGGCCTTTTTCAGGCACTCCTGGGCACAAATCTGTGTTTCTGCGTAACTTTTGAGAGCCATAGGAAGTGCTTTGCAAGTGCTTTAAAAGACTTGATGCTGTTGTGATTCATCTACTTAGCTGCACTAATATCTTAGGACTGAGTGTGTGTTCACAGTAACTCTTAGATTATAGAGCTGTTTGGAACAGAGACTTAGTCTTGCTCACATGCAAACAGAATAAAATGTAGTGTTTATGCAGCCTACTGTAGATGTTCACTCTTTTTGTGTGGGGCAGGACTACTGTGAGTCAACATCACCACCACTTTATCAAAAACAATTATAACCAGCATTCAGCTTGAAAAACTAGTCCTGTAAACTATTGTTTCTGACAGATTTGTGTTGGATGGCTAAGAATGGTAGATTGGAAAGAGAGATGCAGATATGCCTATGCCCATCCCTCCTTATAGATTTTACGGCATCTCAGAAGAGCGAAAGTCACTGTGGTAAGTGACACCAGGACGACATCTGTCTCTCTAACCCTTCTACTGTTTTGATGTGAACTTTGAAGTAGTTTTGGGGTTTGTTTGAGATAGATAGGTTTAGATGTTGTTTGGTGGAGGGGTAATAAAAGTCACAGGCAGAGACATACACAACACGACTGCACGTATGTGTTTTCCTAAGGAAAGTGGGATAGCAGTATGTTATGAGATCAATAGCAGGGCATTAAAAAGATAGGGAGTGACCCTGAACTATGCCCTGTTTCCCATGTGTATTTCACTGTCGTAATTGGCCAAATTCTCAGAGGGTATAAATTGAGAGCGCTTCACTGGAGTCACAGTCGCTGGGGCACTTTGTAGGCACCAGGAAACCCAAAGGGAGAGTTAAGCCCCACTTGTGCACAGAAGGCAGGAGAAACTGCCCTTTTCTGCTTTTGTACTTCATGTCCTAGCGAATGTAAAAGCCCAGGCCCCTGTGGACCTCATGAGTGTTAAAGCTATGGGGAGCCCTGGGGCTGCTGTCCCAGCACCCTTCACAGTGCTGTCCCAGCATTAGACTCCACTAGGTCACACCAGGGCTTAGGTTTCATGCTTGGAGTTACCGCTATCTCTAAGCAGAGGGGTCACTTTGCTACACAATGGGCATTGCCAAAACTACAGCCATGACAAATGTGAAACATGGTGTCAAATGTGGAACAGGTGGGCTATGAGTTCCTAGGGGTGTCTTTTGTCGGTGACAAAGTGAGCTTGTGCAATGTCTTTCCAAAGCATTAACATGCGTCTTGACATATCCGTTCCTGGCACACTGACTGACGAGTGGCTGAAAATAGATAAGCAAAGAGAAAGGGCCAGATTTGTGTGAAAACCAAGAGATACACCAGGATTGTGTCTGGGCCAAAATATTTCAAAATTATTTGGAGAGGGCCTGGTGCTTCTCTGACAGATACACAGCCAGAAATAAATTTGAGACTGAGTTATTTCAAGGGATAGCTGAAATTTCTAAGGCTGTGTGAAGAACATCACGCTCTGCTCAAGAAAGGGCTCAGACTGTGGTACAGTGGCACTAGAGCTGATCTAACCACTGCCATGATCCCACTCTCCCCACCTCATCCTCACCTGCATACTTCTGCTTCCCTTCTTGCACTCTTCCGGCAACTGTAAGCTTTGCACTGAGCTGGTTCACAGTGCTGACCAGAGAGAAAAAGCCAACTGATGTAGCAAGCTGAAGTGGCTCAGCAGAGACCCCAACAGCAGAGAGGGTTGGGAGCATAGAAACACATCTTCCAGTACTTAGGTTACCTTTGGTTATCACATGGAACCACCTCCAGCATACCTCTGACAGGGAGGAAATCTGCATTATTGGTAAGGTGTATTGTGGCTGTATGGCTACCTCCACACCACCATCCTAAGTGGCTGTTCCAACCCCTGTATTGTAGCACATGACAAATTCCCTTGTGTCAGCTGTGGGCTGGATTGGGGAACTGATCCAACTTGAAAGAAAAATAAGTATATTTTTCTGAATTATCTTACTTACTAATCTGTTCACCAACACATTTGCACAATCATGTAGACTGGAACAGCTGGAGGAGCAGTGTGCCAATGTAGTTAGGTGACAATGAGTAGGACAGGATGGTAATTGGGGAAACAAGAAAGGCAGTAATACCCAGGGATGTTTTTGCCCCCAAATACTTTTAATAAGTAATATCAAAGCAGAGATACAGAGATTGACTGCTCCAAGGAAGCGAGTCATGTTGGAAAATATACTTTAATCGATGCATCACTAAATGCTATTTAGCATCATCTGATGTAGACAAGAGTCCCTTTAAAGAATGCACTGATGCAGCCAAATTACTAGCGATTTTCCTTGTTGGAGGCTATGTCTTCTTTGTTCTGCTCTCTGAAGCTTGCTCAGATGTTTGCTGGGGGTTGCAGTACTGCTCAGCCCATATGGCGGCCCTTTTGTGTTGAAAACACCCAACTTTCTGATTGTGTGTTGCTGCGCTGTAGTGTGCCTACACTGCAGACAGATGTAATGAACAGCTTGAAAAGGGGAAACCCTCATGGGCACAATGTGTGGAGGTCAGTGCATTCAGTACAAAGCCCCCATCCCCTTTGCAGGTACCTTTGCAACTCAAGGAGGCTTGAAGCTGTACCACACCGAGCATGAACTACCAAGGGGCAAACAAGGTTTTGAAGCAGTACCTGTCTCTCCTTGTCCCTTGAGGACCTGATCCTCCTCTGCGATGGGACATACTTATGATATACAGCCCCTTTCAGCAGTTTAGCATTCTCCATCCCAGAAGCACTTCAGCTTCTCACCCTACTTCCCCTCCTCTAGAATTTTGCCCACTGTAGTGGCCTGAACCTACTTCTCTTTTCCAGCCAATATATTTGCCTCGGTTTGTTAATGGGCAGTTTATCTTTTTTTGTTCTTCTGTGTATTGTTTTAACTAAAGCAGAAAGCTCTTACCCTTCCCTGGCTTTAGCATTACTGTGTTCCCAGACAGCAATTTCTTCCAGCTACTTTCTGATGATGAGATGATAGTCTGTACCGTTTCAACAGATTAAATGAACCCGGGCAGACTGTGGTGCATAGAGAGTGGCTTGCCCTGCTAGTCACAGTGGCAAAGCATGAAGTTGAATCTGTTGCTTTTTCTTTGCTTGCTATAATCACAGTTTATTAGGACATACAGTTTGTGTACAGATAGTCCATGTTCTGTCTTCTGGCCTTCCTCTTGGGTGCCCCGGACTGAAAAACAGTGAGGGAGAGACACAGAAACAAAGCGACCCTGTGAGATATAAAAGAGGGAGATGGGAGATTCTGGATAATATCTGAGTTCCTTTGAAGTGAAGGCTGAACAGATTAGGAAAAGTGTAATTGAATTAAAGCCTCTCTTTTTTGGAGTAGATATACTTTTACCCTGGCTAAGCAATTTCCTGGTTGAGTTTTTTATCACTTCCCAGCACCTGCTCGTTTCAGAGGGTGACACTCCAGAGATTACTCTGAGCCAGTGCCAACAGCCAGCATTTCTCACTTGCCTCTCGCCCGCCTCCACCCCCTGCACTGCTCTAGACACACACCCCTATATAGAATGACAGCACATTGCCACAATTTAAATGACACTGTCACTGCCTCCTTGGAAGGACAGGTCCTCCAGAGAGCACCAGCCACAACGACTGTCCACTCTTGCAAAAAAGGTCTTCATCATGGCGTATAAAGCAGCACATTTGGCTTTTAAGTCACGCTGGCACAAGACAGATGAAGAACTCTGTCGGCACAGCATGTCCTTTGTCTTGCATAAGGCAATCCAAAATGACTTCTTTCAGAGTTACCTTTATCTGCTGGAAAAGCTTCCCCTGGGTGAGTAGCTGGTGGGCAGGAGCGTCTGTGTGAGTGTGTGACCGTGTTCCAGAAAGACGTATCATGTTAGATGGCAGAGTGCAGACTAATTAATGAAGCAAGTAGTAGTTTTGAGAAGACCTGATAGAGAGAATAGTGCTAGCTATAAACCATTAGGTATTTTCTCTGTCAGCTGCCTCTAATTCAGTATTCTGTTGTTTTGTCTAAATACTCCAGATTGTTAGAGGAGGGCAAGGGAAGGACCACAAGAGGGAAAGGAAGTTTGTTTTCTGGCTGATGATACCTTTTTTTGTGACTGTTTAAATAAAACATGTATTGACCTGTTGGGAACTTGGAAGGACAAATGCAAAACTAGCAGAGCTGACAGGCCTTACTTTCTGTTGCGTGATATCTGTTTTGTTATCATTCATGTGTCCTTAGCCTTGTCATATGTATTGTTTTGGACAAGTGCTTGAAAGGTAATAATTTTTAGCTTTTTTTTCCAAGAGTCTCTGTAATCCAGATCTCTGCAGCAGGGTGTCTAACCTACTGTTTGTTATCTGGGAGGAAGATGCTTACAAAATGTTTGTTTATAGCCAAATTTCAGTGAAAGCCCCTGGTAGTGGATGCCAAGACATTTTTTTTTAGTTGCAGAAAAGGAACGTTCATTTCTTATGAAAATTTGACCCTGATTAAGAAACAAAATTTCCCCAAGACAATATAGCTAAAAAGTAGATTTGACCTGATTCTGTATTATGTTAGCATTGACTTTTTAAGCAGAATTATTCAGCCTCCACTCAATGTTAGAATTGGAGGAATTTAAGATTGAAAGTATGTGCCTGTGTGACTTGTTAAACGGCTGTTCACAGTGAATTCTTGAGGGCTTCTTCCTCATTGAAAGATCCATTTAGGCTAGTGCATTATCTTACCTGATTGTATGAAACTATACAGACGCCAGTGAGAAATCTACTTAAGATGTTAGAATTCATGAGTCCTGTAAAAAGAAAAAGCATTTCATGTCATCATAGTATTTTGATGTGGCTTTTCACATACAGCAATATCTGCAGCTATCTAAAATGAAACATGGAAGATAAATACTCCTATCCCTAATGCTAGGAGGCTATGAACGGCAGAAAGGAAGGAAAGACGGAAAGGAAGGGAAGTTAATTATAGGTCAATGTAATCTCAAGAAGTCTATGAAAATGTTATTCTTTCATTTGTTTTGAAAATAAACACAACATGATACAAACTGAGTTGCCTACAATGTAACTGTTAGTCTGAGTACTATTAGAACATTTTAAAGCTAGAGGGTAACATTATGAACATCTAGCTTAGAATTTCACATAAAAGTTCCTGCATCATGCTTGTAACTTATGACTGGGTCACAGTATATATTTATGAAGACAGAAATACCTTGGTTTAAGGGCTGCAAATGACTGAGAATCCATCAGTCCATCATTAAGCTGTTTCCAGGCCTAATTGCTTCACTCTTGTAAAACTATATTTTATTTCACGTCTGAATTTTATTTGAATTTCCATTCCCAGCCAATAAACTTCATAAAATGTTCCTATCAGACTAAGGATCCCCTCTGCCAGGTTTTTCATTACCCAAATCATTAAAACTTCATTAAAGAGCTTTCAAGCTTATTGCCAGTGTAACCAAATTAGTTTGACTCCATGGAAAAGGCACTGTGAGTCCAGCATTCATGTGAACATGCAGTATGTCTGTTACTCTGTGGTTATCGTCCTGGAGTAAAAGCATATGTAAGGACAGGTACTGTGGGGTAGCTCGTACTTTATGGATATACACATCCAAGAAACTTCACAGCATGCTAGGATGTCGCAATCTGGATGGGTGGACAATCAGATAGGTAAAAAGTGGTTGGGTGATTGGGCTCAGAAAGTTGTCGTCAGATCTTGAGGTCAGTGGAGTACCACAAGAGTCTGGCCTGGGACCTGTCATGTTTAAAATCTTTATCAATAACCCTGGAGGAGGTGAAGGACTACTTGCTCATCATATTTGCAGATTGTGGCCAACTGGCAGGACTTGTCCACAAGTTCTAGGTCAGGACTGCTATCCAGAGGCACCTAAATAGGCTGTAGGAAAGAGACAGTGGGAATCTAGTGAAGTTCAGTTTCAGTGAAATATAAAGGCAAATGCCAAGACCTGCACCTAGAAAGGAAGAACCTTTGGCAACAACAACACGGCTGTGCAGTGGCTCTCTGGAGAGCAGGCCTGCAGATAGGGTTTTGGTAGAAGCAACTGAACATGAACCAGTGTGTCCTGGCAGCAAAGGCAGCCAGCAGTATCCTGGGCTGTACTAACCAAAGCGTAGCTCGTTCATCAAGGGAAGTGATTATCGCCCCTTATGCAGCAGTCATTAGACTATATGCATGGAGTCTTGAACTCCCAATGCAGTTGGATGACGTCCAAGGTGGTGAGGGAACTGGAGCACACGCCCTGAGAAGAGAGACTAAGGGAACGGGGCATGTTCAGACAGAAGAGGCAGCTTCAGGGAGACCAAATACCAGCCTGCCAGTACCTACAAGAAGATCATGAAGAAGATGGAGCTGAGCTTTGCACAGTGGTGTGAGGCAGGAGGACAAGAAACAGTGGCCATAAATGGAAACAAAAGAAGTTCAGACTGAATATAAGGAAGGACTCTTATGGAACAGGTTGCCCAGCGAGGTCATACAATTCTGCATCGCTGGAGGCTTTCAAAACCTACCTGAATAAAGTCCCAGAGAACCTCATCTGACCTCATGTCTGTCCCTGCTTTGAGCAGAAGTTTGGACTACAGACCTCCTTAGGTGTCTTCCAACCTGGATTATCCTGTGATCCAGTGCTTTCTGTGATGGAGAGGACAGAATGTGGCAGGTCTGAACATCTCTACAGAATGCCATTTTCTGGTTCAGTTCAGAGTGGAACGGAGCAGAATCAACTGAACTTTTCAGGCTTCAAGACTAACTCCAGATACCTCTGTGTAAATAGTATTAAACAACTAAAGCAACACTAAGACTGTGACCTAGCAGGGTAGTTAAACGTGTGCTTAACCCTAAGCATGAATAATGACACTGAAATCAAGCCTCACATTGAAACTTGCAGTGCAGCCCAGGGTCAGCAAGGTAGAAAGTTTGCTTCAAGCTATGCTAAGTCCACACTCCCCCCACTCCATTGCTAGCTTCAGTGGTAGAGCACTTAGGCATGTTTACCTATGAACTGAGCATATCTGGTATCACAGCCTGCTAAAAGAAACATGTCACTTTTACAGACCAGGGTAACGTTTATAAATAAAAGACATGAGTAACTTTAGGCCCTGATCCAACAATGTACTTAAATGGGTGTGAATGCCCTTAAGCCCAGTGGACTTTAATGGAGCTATTCAGATGCTGGAAATTATGCATGTGTTTACATGGGCCATGGGACTTGGTGCCAGTGGGTGAGATCTGCAGTGGAAAATTCAGATGATCAGACCATAGAGACAAATATTCCCGTGTGTGAAGCATGTGTCTGTAAGTAAAATCTGCTTTGGGCGTGGGCTGATGTTCATCCTCTATAAAACAGATTTTAAATGGTTCTTTGACCACAGTAGAGAGGTGAATTCTACCCTGTACCCAGATAAATTATTTTTCGACTGATGCACAAAGCAGATGTTGCATTTAAAACGGAATACTCAGCCAAACTGGAATTAGTTCAGTATCTTGCAGAAAGCAGTTGGAGCCGCAAAATAATGTTCACAAATAAAAACTTCAAAAGAATTACTTGCAACATTTACTTCTGCCAGGAAATTTAGATGAGTAAACCCTGCAACCAAGAACTGTAAGACAGTCTACTGCAGGTTGGGACTGCACCTGGTCTTACGTATTAAGCGGTCCATTTCTCTAGAGGTTTAGATCAGATGCACTGGGAAACAATTGAACTGATCCATAAGAAAATACTAGAGAGAAAGTTTTGGAGGCAAGGGCAAAAAGGCTTAGATAGATGCTCTCTATCTAGTCCAGGGGCTGGCTGTAGGTCACCACTCTGCATCCAGACTGTGTTTGCAGCAACTGAAAATAATTAACAACTCATGACACTGGAGTGACCTTTAGGGACCCAGTTCCTGTGCTTGGCCTGCTTTTGCAGTGGGTTTGTTTTAACCATCTCGACTTGAGGGACTTACCGGTAGATTCAGCTGAGGGACTGTGTGTGCCATGAAAAAAGTTTCTTCTTACTTTACTAGAAACACATTTCTGATGTTAAACCTTACAAGTTACTTGCCTTAACACTGAAAACCTTGTCTGTGAAAAATGTCTGAGAGACTTGCAGCCTCCATCATCCTATCCTGCCTATGCTCTACTTTGCAAAGTTTGTTGAAATCAGGCTGTATATCTGTAACAGACCTCACAAGTATTTCATTTCCTGATGCATGAGATAGTCCCACATGTGTCATAGAAAGGGAGATGCCTCTGGCTAGACAGGTCCCGTGATGAGGGGGAAGCATGCTGGAGCTGAGCTGCAACACGAACTGCCACCAAGGGCATGTGTGCCTCCTCACGCTTCTCTTTTGGGGTAGATTCCTGCAAGCTGGCAAACCTTCTCCCTCTGGTCCTGCTGCTGGAAGCCCACATGCCAGGCACAGCTGCAAGGCAGATCAGAGGTGAGGTTGATTGGCTGTGTCTGGAAAATTGGGTTGTGCATTAGGAGAGTTGGCAGTGTTGCAAATTCGTGAGAGAGAGGAGTAACACTGAAGGAACAAGAGGTGGAAATCATGTCTTTAGATTGCACACTGGATGAGTGAGACTGTGGGTCCACAGGAGAAGACTTTGGGTACAGTGCCACCCTTTACGTTAGGATGCCTTCAGGTGGGAGACTTGCATAAAAAGATCTTTGCAAAGTTTGATGCATAGAGAAGACCTTATGGACGCTAGCCCAGAGCTGGTTTTGCATGCCAGCATGTAAGGCAGGGCTCTGCAGCCCCAGGTGGCCTGGGAGGAGCTGCAGTCAGCTGGTGTATGCATGCAAATCCTGGCAGGCATTCTGCAAGCCTGATACTGGTTCTGAGTGAGAAATCTGAGAGCACACACTACAGATCTGATATCCTGAGCAGCATATCATCCCCATGTGTTGCCTTGGGTCAGGCTTATGTTTTGAGTAGAAGGACTCTGAATATTTGTTGTTCATTGTTCATGCTGCCAGCTGCCTGCAACACCCTGTCCTAGTGTGCAGACAGCCTGTAAATGCCTTTCCTTTCAATCTAACAAAACAGGATAAATCACTGTCCCTTGATAGGTCCATTAAACAAGCCCTAGAAATCATCACTGGAGTCTTATGTGGAAGATCTTGCAAAGGCATCATGCAGGAATTCAGTTCTGTTCTGGAGAGGCTGGCATCTGAAATGGAGAAAAAAGGGACACAGAGAAAACAAGATGGTGCCACTCCCAGGGGAAGATGAAGATAATTTCCTGGAAGAATCACAGCCACCAATGGACTCTTTTTCCAGGCTCTGGGAGCCACCCTGGCCATGTGCTGGGGATTGCCTGCTGCCCACTTCGTATTAATTTCTTCAGCTAAATGGTTTCTTCTGAGTATGTGAATATAATCAGTGGAGTGTGTAAAACTCCCAGGTTTGACCCTTGCTGGGCTTAGTGCTTCTTGTGGTATAAATTTCTCAGGCATAACATAAATGTGTAATGGATTAAAGCTTTAATAGTATCCGTTCAGCAGTTGACTTAAGCAGGTGATGACAAGAGGGGCTGGTAATGCTGCTTTTGTTGGATGAAGGATATGCTGGGCATGCTGCTTATGTGTAACCCAATAGCACTATTCTGTTCTGAGTGGTCCTTGGTGGTAATTATTCCCTATCCTACTTCCTTTGTCCCCCCCTCATTTGCCTCCAAAATGTCATTCTCCTGCTGAGGATGGGCAGGCACACACTTATCATTCCCTGCTGAGCTTGCTTGCCCTCAATAAATACATTCCAGGCTTATATTCAAGGCCTCTGGCCTAGCTCTCATCCTCTGCATGGAGGGCATAATTCCTGTTCGCCAGCTGCCGTAAGGAAGGCATGGTCTGTTCAGACTCTTCTCAGCAGCCACCAGCAGTGCTCCCGTGGAAGATAAAGGATGCAGTGACAAAGCACTGCTCTCTGGTCCTTCTGTGTACGCAGCTAGCAGGGAGCTCTCCCTTTCTGTTGTTCTGTTGTCACCAAAAGGTGTTTGCTGCTGGATCATTTCCAGTTCCTCGAACATGCTGGGAATCTTCAGCAGAGCTGGTCTCGCACTGCAAGGTGGTGCTTGCAAAAACTTGTTCCCAGTGTGACTCCATCTCTTCTTATTGCTTAGCTTTCACAGGCAGGCTTGTAGTTGTGTGTTTGTTGGAAGGTCTGTCGTACACACAGGAAAATGCCTGGACACCTGTATGCGCACATGAGACAGAGCTGCTGGCTTCCAAGCAAACTGTGTATGGCCTGCCTCAATCCAAACTTCTGAGCTGCAAAACACAACAACTTTTGATATGCTGATGCACATCAAGTATAGAAACACCCAGGATGGGGAGGATAGACCTCAGGTTTTTAAAGAACAGGGGAAAGTAGCCCTTTACCCAGCAAAGCTCACAGATTTTAATAAAACAGCTTCAAACTTGTGATTGCTGTACATTAGCAGCAAAATAGTCAAGCAGTGAAAAGAAACATCCAAGCCTCTGGCACCCAGGAACTTTCCAGTATATCACCCACTGATTATCTTGCTCCTTGATCTGTGACAGATGAAAATTTAGAACTGTCTCTTCTAAATTTTCTCCCCGCCCTGTATACTCATTTAGTCCTGAAACTACCATCTGCTCTTTGGTTCAGCTTACTTGCAGTGCCACAGAGTGTACAGTATCACTAAAAATAAACCAGAGCAAGTGCCTCATTCATCCACTCTCTTCTTGGTGCACCCTCCATGCAGCTGTCAGTGGCTAGAAAGCATATAAGGAAATCTGCAGAACAGTTCGGTTTGTGATAGCGGAAATGATGACCCAGCATAGCAATAAATGCCGCCCACAGCTTTTCTGGGAGCAAATCAAGCCCCTTACTCTCTTTGGCATGCATGTTCACTTCAAACTTTACATGATTTTTCACTGACATGAAAACATAGTGTGATGACCGAAATTATGCCTGAGCCTGGGAGGCATTGAATTTGTCCAAGGAGGGGCTCTATCCCTTCAAGGTCTTGCAGGATTAAACCCAACACCTTTCCTTCTACCTTTGCTTTAGAAACAGAGGTTTGGTGATTTGAAGTCTCAACTTAAGTTTATAGATCTTCGCCATCATGCCTTCAGAGCAATAAACTAAACCAGAAATATCTGTCACTAACAATAAAATAGTGATTTATCTGCTTGCAGTGAAACTTTACGCTTTGACAAGTCAAGTTATCAATGGGGAGATGCAGTTCTACGCCAGGGCTAAACACTTCTACCGGGAGGTGCCAGCCACAGAAGAGGGCATGATGGGAGACTACATTGAGCTCTCCAATACAGACATTGAATCCTCCAGGGAGTTTCTCAGGAAGTTTGTTGGGGTGAGTCATTTAATCCCATGTTCTGAAAGAAACAGTGGTGATGTGTCAGAAATGACATGCACTATGCCCATTTACATATATTTTAAATGGCACCATATGTCATATTTGATAGACAGTCACAGGTCATAACTGACTCTCATTTGGTCTAGTAATGTATTCTGCCAGGTCATGCATCATCATGAGTATACATTTTGCCTGGCCTTAAGTCATTATTTACCTGTTTTGCATCCTTTTCTTACGCTCCAAAGCTGCAAAGAGGATTGTGCAAGGAGTTCTTATAGCTGTGTTTGGGTGGGAGATTAATTCTCAGTGCAGGACTGGGACCTTTCATGATAAAATCCTTGCTGGCTTCAGTGGGAGATTGTCTGTGCAAATTCCTGCAGTCCATTTGGGAAAGTAGCTGAGACTAAATGCCAAGTTTCTGTTTTGCCTATTTATAGATATTTCTGAGAATGCTGCAACAAAAACCAGCCCTCCTCCCTCCCCGCTCCAAACATTAGAAGTATATAGAATAAGCTACCCATTAGGAAAAATATTTTTTTCTTGAACATTCCTGTGTCACTGGGCACCTTTGCAGGCAGATTTCTGAAGGTCTGTAAACATCTTTAAATGTCTGCTTTGACCTGAGTTACAAAGAGATGCCAAGCGGGATTTTAAAAGCACCTACGATAGCAATATCACTTTGGCATTTAGGTTTCTGAAAATCCTGTTAATGCCTAAATATGTTTTTGGGAATCTGCAAATCTTTAAAAGTGTGGCCGGATGGTTTTTTGACTGCCCTTGCCTCTTCCCAAGGGAAAAGCCCACTAAATTAGCTCAACAACAGTATTGGATGCTAAAAAATCCACAAAGCTGCAGGAAAACAAATTTCTTAAGTTCTCCTGCTCGCTAAAGGACTAGTTCTATATAATTCTACCATAGATCTTTCATTTTCTGCTCAAATGTACAAATTTGGGGTAGCCAGATGACCTTTTCTTAGCCTTAATGATCTACAGTGAGAAAAAAAGCTCAATAGGTTACTTAGATGTTGTGTATAAAAAAAGGGCACAGTTTAAATGGATTGGGGTGGAAAATGAGCGTGACTTAACAACAGACAGAAATCCTGTATAGCAGTGAAGGACAACTGATGGCAAAGTTTGCTATACCTGGTAGAGGGAGGCTTTCGGGGCAGTGAGACAGCAAAACACAGGTGAGCAGCTACATTTTTTAAATTAACAATCATTTGTATTAATGTTAATGCAAAAAGGCTTCACAGCATTTCAAAGCTTCACTGTATCAGGCTTTCTACAAACACAAAATAAAAAATACAAAGGAAGTTCAGCAAGGCAGAGGAACCTGATGGTAAGATGGCATTTTCAGAAAAAATGAAATGCAGCTTATAAGCCTAGAGCCGGCTTAAGGCATATTCCTTAAATTTTACTTCAGTCTGGTTTTAAGGACATTTGTGGAATCCAAGTGGTGCATAAGCGTGTACCTAAGAGAAGGGTTTCACAATTCCTAGATATCATATAGATTCAGTTTCCTGAACGGCAGGTTTATATCACACTGTTACGCTTTCTCCTCTCCAAGACCCAAAAAGGAAAGAACTACAGTCTGTAGTAGAGTTTCACATGCCAAAGACAAATCATACCCAATGCATCAGGTGTGATGACAGATACAAAATACTCCAGAGCAGAGTTCCTACTCCTATTATTAGCCAGGGATAGAAAGGATACTCTGAATGGCCAAGATCAAACAAGAAAAAAAAAAAAAAGGAACAGAAAGGAATCTGCACGTTTTCTAATTCTGATTTAGTTTGTTAAAGCCTGTCCTCTGTTGAGATACAGTCAATTGGTTATGTTACTTATGGATTATTTTCCTTTCTTATTACTGCAATTTGAATCCTACTCAACTAGGTACCAATATTTACTGGCTTTCTGTAGTAGTGACTTTACAGTAAAGCTAATCTGAGTTACATCTTCCCAAGTTTGTGGCTCTATGAATAATTTTTTTTTCCAATAAGACAATCAAGATAGAAAAAAGCTATTTTCTTCACTCTAATATAAACTATACTTTCTTTTTTAAACAGAAGTTTAACAAAATAAGAAAATAGGAAAATTATTTTCAGATCAACTGAACATCTTTCACTTAAATTTTTTTGTTGTTTTACCCTCTGAAAAACTTTTCCCTTTGTTTTCAAGACATACGTCAGTTCCAAAATGAAAAATGCTGTTTAGAAATGAAAAGTTGACAAGTTTTTTTTTTCCTTGAAAGTCGTGAAAAAGAAGTATCTTGACATTTTCAACATCATTTCCCATGTTTTTTGGCTATAACTATTCTCTAGATTTGAAATATTAATTTCACAGAGAGTTTTATTCTTCAAAAACTTTATTTTCTGGCAAAACTGGTGCTCCTTAAAAAGCAGTTGCCCAGTTCCACTCAAATTACCCCTCTTGAGTTAGTTTGGCTGGTGTGGAAATGCCACACAGTGACATTTCCCTTACATGACTGATGTTGCATACCTTCATGTATGGCATTTCTTAGCATGATTCTTAGCACCACTGTAAACTGAGCTACAGATTTCTTTACCGTTGGAGAATTTATCTTGCCTGGGCACATGGAAGGAATTACAGAAAAGACTAAGGACTTCACTTATATTTTAGCCTGTCTCCTTCCCAGGCGAGTCAAACTGAGTTAAAAGTGCCACTGTGCTCAAGTTAAGAGGTTTTATGTGTGTGTGGGCAGAACTCAAACCAAGAGCAACATTACTTGAGCCAGCAGTGCTGTACAGACAAGCTGTAGGCTGTCTTAGGTACAGTCATACCTATGGTTATCAGCAGAGCTATAGCACTGCTTATTTATGGCAATGTATTAATGCCAGTTAAAGCTGTGATGTCCACCTAGACACTGTGTTTTCAAGTGCCTAATCTGGAGGTACTGTATAAAAAAGGAAATAAAGAAAAAAATCCATTAATTCAGGAACAGTTGTGAGCTATAGGTTTGTGAAATAATACAGACAGAGATTATATGAACTTTATAGCTCCCTTTCTGCCCGAAACTCTTTCTCCCTTTCTTGCGCTCAGTTCATCTGCCTCATTGGTTACTTGCTGAAAAGCTTCTTGAAAGTGATTTTTCTCCTGTTTGATCAGGGGGTTGGATAAGATGTTGTTGAAAACCTGATTTTTATTTTTTTTTAATTTAGAAAGAAAAACACTGTGATTTTTACCTATTTCTTGAACTCTGATTTCTTTTTTATCTTACATATCTACACTGCCTTTCTGCCCTTCCAAGACCTGAATTAGCATCAGGAACATACACCACAGCTCTTTTATCCCTAAGGAAATTTGAGAGTGCCCTATTTAGCTTACAGAAGAATTTTTGGATGTGTATGTGTCCTCAATGACAGTGATTCTGAGCCATGGGAAGCAGGTAGTCAGAGGAGCAGTCAATCTTAAATTTTGAAGCCTGTTCTGGCTTAAAATTTTCACTTGTACTATTTTTTTAAATAAGGAGTCTGATTCCGAACTCAATTAGGCTTTTGGGAAAATGATTGCCTTCCAAAGAAAATGTTAATACCCTGTCAAAGCTCTGAGCACTTCCAAACTGAAAATATATTATCTGAACATGGAATTATGTCAACATTTTCATTACAAACGGAGCCATAGTGCTTCACAGGGCTTCTCAACTGACAGACTGATGCTCTTGCTCCCTTTCAGCAAAGTGTGGGATCAGGCTTCATCTCCTGTGATTGTTCCCTTTCCTTCTTCTTGATGGCAAATGGAGATGTGTCATCAAAGGTCTTTGCCATGACGCATCATGAGAGATGAATTCCCAGTTTCGAGTGAGGTACTGCGAGTATAGGTTCTCTGAAGCACAAATGTCAAAGAAGTTATATGGCTTTTTGTTGAATTCTGTTAGTATTCATTAGTAAACCAACCTGGTTTTCTCACCAGCTTTCTCAAAGATTTTTACTTAATCACATGAGTGTAGGCCTGTATATATCTGCCAGCAAACAATGTGGAAATCCACCTTGTAAAGTTCTAAGACACAGCTCCTTCTCCTTTCATGAACTCCTTGTTAGAGCTTAGTCTGGTCCTCAGTAAAAGCCACATGCTCTTAAGCGCAGCCTGTGAATGAAGAATGACTCACATTTTCTGGGTAACTACAAACAGGTAGTCTCCAGAGTCCAATAGGGTTGAAGTCTTGTGGAGTCTTGCACACATCAGGAGATTAATCTTTGTAGATACACAAATTGGGACCAGAAGCCCTGAAGACTGGTGAGAGCCTTTGAGGTCCTTGTGCTCTTTCTACAGTTACTCTGTGTAACCAGATGCTCTGGCGGGCTATTCATAGTCATGTCATTGGCAGTACTGTCCTTTGACCTTAATAATATACTGAATTACCCACTGAAGCAAGGCCAAAAAAGCGGTGAATTATGTGATTTATGCTTGGTCATTACAAAGAGAGTCTCCCAATAAGCAGGAAGAGGAAGGCTCTTCCTGGGCTTATTTCTTCTAAGAGCAGTGAAGTTGCAGCAGGGACTTTGGCCCATAGCTTTCACTTCAATATTCAGTTCCAGGGGACAGGGAAAAGGTGTTTACATTTGCTTTTAATGTATTTGTTTAACTGATAACTTTGGCCAGGGGAGCTCCAGTCCTACAGTCAGTGCATGTACAGACTTAAAATTTCTGTTTTACAGAGCAGCAGCAGGCTCTTAAGAGCCTTTTTATAGCTAGAATGGAAGCTTTAGGGGTGAAATACAGCTTTCATTATAAAGCTCCTTTTATAGTGACTCATTATTTTCTCATAGACATAGCCTTTGTGCCACATATTTTCATGTCTGATCTCTGTCCAGAGGTGGTATTTATGAAGAAAAAAGGAACAGTCAAGCAAAATCTACTTAATAATCTTTCTTGTCGTCATACCTGAAGAAGAAATTCTGTATATACTCCAGTCCAAACTTTTTGAGTTTTCATAAGTTACCTACAACTCCAGGATCTTTGTTCAAACACAGCTTGTTTTGAAAACTGCACTTTGATCCCAAGGATGCTGTGTATCTGCAGAGATTGGGCACCTTGGGAGTTTGTACTGCAGAAGTTACTTCTTGCATGCAGTACTTGGTATATGCTTACTTTTTTGTTAGGCCTTTACATGGCTCAGAATGAGGCTTGTCTAGCCACGTAGTTAGCTATGAGGTATGAATATTTGACAGATGATATTGCAAGGACTTTACAAAGACCAGCGGATGTTCTGAGAAAGCTAGGAGCTTGTGAGAGATTGTGTCTCTTCTTATACCAGGCAAAAACTTAAATTACAGCAATAAATGCAGGGCTGCAATGAGGAAGTTCCATCAACAGCAGCTTGGGAACACAGCAGCCCACCTCAGCTCACACAAAGGTACCCAAAGCTGTATTGATACTGTCCCAGGTTCTTATCAACCTTGCAACAGCCCTGCACAAATAAGGAGACAAGACATGAGGCTTGGGTGACTAAAGACCATAGCGGGTAACACAGTTGCTATGATTTTATCAGATGATATTTTTCCGATTTCAAACTATTTTCTTGTATCCCACAGGGGGTGGGGAAAGCTGGCACCAACCGCGCCCTGGACTGCGGCTCTGGCATAGGTCGTATCAGCAAGCATGTCCTGTTACCAGTTTTCAAGAGCGTGGAACTGGTGGATATGATGGAGAATTTCCTGGCTGAGGTCCCGAACTACCTACAGGGCAAGGAGGACAGAGTAGAGATGTATTATTGCAAAAGCCTCCAGGAATTCACTCCAGCCCCACAAAGATATGATGTCATCTGGATTCAGTGGGTTTCAGGTTAGTTCAGCATGATTCATCCAGCCCAGCATCTCAGAGAACTATACAGCCTGTGCTAAAGTTTATGTTAAAAGAATGGTGCAGCTGTAAAATGATGTTCTCAAATCTTTGGGACTGCTTCCTAAAATCTCACAAGAGACTTTGGAGAGTTCTCCCCAGCTCCATGCACAGTGGGTACAAATCAGGTTGGATTTTCAGGTCACGTACTGGAGGGAGGTACATTTTCTTGGAGAGTAGTGCACCTGAGGAGTAGGCCTTATGTATGGGTTTTCTTGAGCAGGAATCCACCTTCTTAGATGCCAAGTGCTGCAGACAGATGCATGGGGTTGGCCTCAGCTGTGAGCAGGGATTTCTGAATCTGATGATTGTCCAGACTTGGGCATATTTCAGGAAACAATATGAAAAAAGCCGTAGTGAAATCACCAATACCTATAAACCAGATCATGTCTTATACGTGCACTGATGATCAAACAGGTTCACTTACCTATGTCCCACAATACCCCCTTCATGGGTACTGTACAAGAAATACCTGCTGCTTCTCCTGCAGTCACCCCAGTGAATGCCCTGCAGCATTAAGAGCAGCAGACTGGCAATCAGATAATGTGGGCTATGTTCCTCAAAAAAAAAAAGTAGTTCTTAATCTTTTCTAGAAAACTTGCTGCAGTGCCTAACTGTCCTTCCAGAAAGGTTCCCTTCTAATTTGTGAACCTAAGTGTCCATGGTGCAGCTTCAGCTAGCAGAAGTCATTATTCTAAAGCACAAGAGGAGGCCTAAACAATTCCTTCTTTCCAAAACCCTGGAGAGAGATAGTTTCTTGCTAGGCAAAAAGAAAGGTAAAGGTAGAGAGATTAGCACAGGAGATGGTTTTATTCAGAAACACTTATCTGTCCTCTACACATAGTCTTAAAAAGTAATGAGCTTCTTAGAACAGGTCTTTATAGCTGTACAAGCAAATTGCTTCAGAACAGTGTCATTATCCTTTGTATTTTTGCTTTTCTTGAATACCAGTCATTGCAGTAAATGTAGCTCCAGCCTCATCTTTTGAGCAAATCTAAGTCAACATGAGACTGAGTGAGCTAAGACTTTTCTGAGGCTGTGCTGATCAGCTATGTGGCTGCTAACAAAGCGAGCATATGCCTTTTCTTTAGCATAGACACAGATCTGAATCTCCTTCCTCCATCAATTTCAATTAAATACGTAGTGATCTTAAGTACTAATCAAACTCCTGCCCCTATCTTGAATTTGTCTGCGATATAGGCCAACAAGCTCAATGCTTTTTGGTGGAGTGAGGGCAGGACTGTATGGTATAGAGCCACACCATGAAGATCTCATTTTCTTAGGAAACTAGGCTAAAAGCTAAGTTAAGAGAGCATTAAGTTCCCAATTAGGTGCTCAAAAGTTTCAATGAATCTTACCAATGCAATCTTGATTTGTCTTATGTATGAATAAGCATATGAGCCCAGGCTGTTATTTTATGAAAAAATAAAAATGCAAGTTTACATTTCATCTAGAAGTTACCATTTTCCTTCAACTTGAAAGGTATTCAGCTTTAGGCTTTGAGACTTTTTTCTTTTTCTTTTTTTGGGGGGATGGTTAAAGAAACCTGACATGCTATGTCAAAATGCGGTTTTGAAATGACAACTTCCATTTATAAAAGTTTAAATCTTCCATCAAGAAAACTAAATATTTTGACTAGAAAATAGAAACTTTTTTTTTCAAGTTCTTTATTCAGTTTCTGACCACCTGTCCTTTTTAATTCATTTTAGATGTTTCACATGTGAGAGCTCTCATTTTGCTCTTCTCTGAGCTCTGCACTACTGATCTCAACATAACAGAAGTATTGATCTTTGAGAAGGAAGGATAAAAAACACAATCTCAATAACATATTGAAAAAAGTACTGTTTTTAAATGTATATGGTATATGCAGAAATCACAACAGTAAGGGGCGATATAAAGAGTTTATTTGGCATTTTGGAAGGTCTTGCATTCCTCACTGGATCTTTGATCCAGAACTTCTTTGATGGGTACATAATGTTACATAAAGTTATAGAGATTTGTAGCATTAAAAGACAGAAGGGTCTGTTAGATTATCTAGTTTGACCTACTCTGTATCACAAGCTGTTATATTCATTCCTTCACCCTTGTACTGAGCCAGTCATTTGTGTTCAATTAAAACATATCTTGAGAAATTTAACCATGCTTGATTTGAGGACTTGAAGAGGTGGTAAACACCACTTCTGTTGGTAGTTTCCAATGGGTAATTACTTACACTGTTAAACAGTTGTCACTTATTTCCAATATGAATTTGTTTGGCTCCAACTTCCTGCCACTGATTCTTATTATGACTTTAACCACCAGATTAAAGAACACTTCAGCACCCAGTATTTTCACCACTATTCCCATTGACTTCTGTCCACATCTGTTGCTACTATTAATATGCATCCTAAATATTGATTTGAGTTTGTAACTGCTGATCTTGTTGATTTGCCCAAGATTTCATAATTAAATCTGGCAGGACTAGGACTTCTCCTGCAATAAATAGGATATGAAGACTCAGATCAAGGCACCATTCTGACGTGTACAGAGGGAGTCTGTTTGAATGGTTAATAGTGATCTATTTTCCATCTTTCCATCTGTAGGATATCTGACAGATAAAGATCTCCTGGAGTTTCTCATCCGGTGCCAGAATGGCTTGAAGGATAATGGTGTTATCATTCTCAAGGACAATGTAGCCAGGGAGGGCTGTATCCTGGATTGTCTGGATAGTAGTGTGATCCGAGACCTGAACATCCTCCACAGCCTCGTTGAAATGAGTGGACTCACCATCCTAGAAGAGGAGAGGCAGGAGGGATTCCCTGACCAGTGTGTCCCTGTCTGGATGCTGGCCATGCAGAAAGGCCCTGGCCATTCCTGATTGCATAGTGAGGCTGTAGAGACTGGACTATGGATGAACCGCAGGACTGGGGAGGAGAAGAGCATCTACTAGAATCCTTCTAACCATGCACTGCTACTACTACAACTCTAGGGCAGCAATTCCTAAAGGATTGGGAGAGAATTACCATTGAGCCAGCTTCTCCAGGGAATAGTCTGCTTATAAACCTGCCTGCTTCATCATTCTCTCCATTTTTAAAAGCCTTTCTAACAGCTCTTTGTCAGATCTCTCTTTCATTAAGGAGTCAATAGCAGACAAAACTCAGCTAATAGAAAATAATTAGGTCTGAAGTTTCTGTAGTGGCTAATACATTTTCGAGTGTTCTGTATGAGGCATTAACAAATGAGCCTGGTTTTTACTACGGCATTTAAATCTTCTTGGAATTTAAGAAGGATCTGTCAGATCACTGAAGCAGGAAATTCAAATAACTTCTGGAAAACCTAACCCAAATTTTGACTGTCATCACCATCTGTACTTTAAAATATTTAAACCAAAAATGTAAGGAAAGTTTTATCGACCAAAAATGTAAGGAAAGTTTTATCGATTTGTTGGCATCAGCTATGCAGTTTATTTATTTTTGCATTTCTGTCAGTTTGGACAATAAGACAACCTGGTTAATTTTCCATTTTTATCTTCCTGATGTTTCTGCCATAGAACAATAGTGGTGCATAAGTGTTTTTGCACTCCAGGGGAAAATGTAGATGACAAATATATGCATGTTTGCATTGAAATTTTGTGAAAAGATTGCCCCACAAATTACATTCTGGAAAATATTTTTTCAAAATGTTCACAGTGGAAACCACTTGAAAGTTCCTCTTTATTATTCATACCACTGTAAATTTCTTTCTTTCCCACATTCAGAACGTCTGGCACCATATGCAGAGCTAATGGGATTTCATGGGGTGTTAATAGTAAGACTGTAAGAAGAACTAATACAGTATTGTATTAATTAACAACTGTACTAAACTGCAGAGGGTGTTAGTGTAACCCGAAAGCATCTATGATTTATATTCAAACAGCAGCTGTATAAGCCTGGATTTGAAAATACTAACACACATACAATCTCCTTAAGGCTCACAGAAATTACACATTAAGCTTCTTCTCCTCTTCATATAGGCACAGAAAGTGCTGGGGGAGGACAGAAGTTCATTTTGGAAGAAAATGCAGAATTTGAAATTCTGCTTCATTCTGAATGGGCAGAAAAAGGGAGAATTTCTAAATTCTTCATGAAGGAAAACCACACAACCACAGACTTTTCCAAGTTGATTAAAATTGTTCATTTAGACAAAATCAAATGTTTCTTTTGAACTGGGCTTTTAAAATAATTTGCACTTAAAATATTATTAAATGCAGTAAAAAGAAAATTAAATATGGCTTCTTCAAAATTTTAGAAATTAATGATAATGTTAGAATGGACTGTTCTGACTCTGTCAGAATTTTTATCATGTTTTATTCCCCTGAAATGCAATTCTGGCAAAACTTATCAGACCTTTTAAAGAGTTGCATTATGACAAACCTCCATGTTCTGATGGAAAGAGTTTCTACAGAACATCCTCCACATGACTGTAGGCATACTTGTCTGTGTCAAATATTGTCATCTGTGTTAGATTACCTCACATAGAAGCCTGAAGATAACGAGATCAGGGAACCTCTCAGCTGGATTTTAGTACACTTGGCCATCCTTGGATAACAAATCTCTAGTTTTGGTTTTAATTGCATAACTCCTCTTCTCTAAGCAATATGGTTGCATATGTTGAGAATTTCCAATTTATGGCAGAGGGCTTCCTGCAGTCAAATCTTATCTAGTAATTGTTCTCTTAATGTGCCATTGCTGATTGTAGCATTAAGGAAAACAACCCTGGTGATTTGGTGAATATTCTGGCATGTCATATAACCTAGAAGCCTATGATTCCCATGACACAGATGCTTCTGGAACGTTTTGGCTAATTCTCCATTCTAATGAACTGGTAGTGGATGTAGATTTTGTAGATAACATTGTTAAAAACCCTAGGTGAACTCTTACATTCTGGAATTGTCCCCAGGACTAAGTGCTTCAAATTCCCTTTAAGCCACTACAATGCATTTATTCTGCCAAGCCTGCTAAAAGCTGATGTGGTCTTTGCATGCCTGTGAGTACGTGCAGATATCTGAAGAAAACCCAGTCATTTGTTTTACAGGAAAGAGGCATCAGTCCTATAGTTAGTAACACTGGTTAGCAATAACAGGAGAGTATTTAAAAGGCCTTTATGTGGATTACAAATTAATTTGTCCTTCACCATTTTTTTCTTCCAGTCAGAGATGTTTGCCATGGTGCAAAATACTTGGGGACTTCTGGAAATCCTAGTACAATCATGTTTGTGCCAGGCATATCTGAATGGTGTTGGTCACTACAATGGTGAGAGAATGGCATTGTGGAAATAGGGAATTAAACTATTTTATACAAATCTAAACAGCTGCCACATCTCACAGGGCAGAATATATCAGCTGTTCACATACACACTGGAGTGGGTGCAGTTCAGTAATGAGAGACGTGGTTCCAAGATGGATATAGAATGTAAAGTGGTTTAGCATGAAAGGTAGAATATAAATGACTGGGGTTGTTACCAGTGAAATACATTTTTCAAGGTAAAAATGTTCTTCCCGTATTTTGTACAACTTTCCTATTTGAATTTCCAGAATACATATACATTAACATAAAATGAAAATTGGTTCCCTTAACTGTGTGAGAACAGGGACAAATAAAATCTTAATTTAGTAGAAAACCCCATATTTCATGGTTCCCACATTCCTGGAAATTAATGTTTCATGGCTATGTTGCTTCCACAGTAAAATATTAAAGCTTTTCTGGTGACATAATGAACCTCAATAGTAAAGAAACACAAGCCTTCCAGGGGCTTAAATGCATGAGATCGCTGCAGACTGAATAATATTTTTGTTTCCTCCTTTTCCAAGGTATATTTTAATTCAGGAACTCCCAGTAAACCAGTGTAGGCCACCCTTAGATGTTCATGAATTTGGGTAAGGGCCATTCTTGACTTAAAAGTTCTCTGGACTTTAGCATAGGAATTATTATTATTGTTATTGTTATTATAGAATCACAAATTTCAAACAGAAGATCTTGCTCAGAAATCATCTATGTAGTTGCTCTTTGGTGTTCAAAGACTAGATAATCATCTCAGTTTCTCTGCCTTAACTTTTAGGTTATTTAAACCATGCATTTAAAGAAGTCTTTAGCTCATCAGATTGCAGTGCAAGTTTGAACCCCATTTGTTTCGTGCTCATTTAAGACCTGTTCCCGATCTTGATGTTACGAGAAATTTAATCCAAGATCAAGACCCTGGCTGAGGCAAGGTTCGCAGAACATTCACAGGGTCCTTCAAGCTCAAGCCCTCATTCACCACTGACAGGTAATTAGTGAAATATCCAATTAGTCCTTCAATCAGATGTTTCTCCTAGGCAACCACTACTCAAGTAAATGCTTAGGCAAAGTGCAATACAGCCTACTTCTGACATGTCACCATCAAAGCTCTTGCTAATGCTTGCTTTCCCCATATCAGATCCAGTATTTTTATTCTGTGTGACTGAAGACCAAGTATTATCTTTACTATATGAACATAAGGTTCCTTGCAAAAGAGGTCCTCAAGCCCTGACAGTAGCCCCCAAATGCTACTGCAACCCAAACACAATGTAAGGAAGCAATTATTAACAGCAGTCTGAACAGCAATCCCAACTGTGCAGCTCCAGCAATCATCAATGCTCAAGCTGTTCATGTTCCGAAGGCGACTCAGACATTACAAATATCCTTTCATTCCTAATTGGAAGAGAGCGCCATCATTTTGAAACATATCACTGAATGGATGTTCTGAAATATTTTGTTTCAGAAATACTGAAATGATCATATAAAATATTTTTAGTTTGACTTTCTTCTTTGGATGTTTATGTAATCTGGTCTAAGCTGACATGTGAGATGATAATATAATACATTATATAGCACTGTAATAGTTGAACGGAAACGTTAGTTTCCTACAGAATATGCTAATAAAATCAGTACATTCCCTGCCCCTTAATTTAGTGAAACAAGTCAGCAATTTTCAGAGGAAACAGTCATTTCGAGAGGAACAGTCCTGTCAAGAAGTATTTGCCCAAGCTCTTTTTCTCCAGATGTATCCCGTCCATTCAGGCAGCTTGCAGTGTGCCTGGCCTAGGGAGCAGCCACCTTAGGCTCTTTGGCAGGCAAGAAGAAACTGTCTCCTCTGGAGCAATTCAGACCACCTCAGAGCTGAACTGGCTTGAAATAAGAGAGCCTCCCTTCTCCCTGGTGGTTGTGCAATGGGACAGAAAGTGCATCCTTGTTATAACCAATTCAGCATCTTCGTTGTTAATGTCAAAAAGAAGTGCAGTGTGATCTGAGGAGCTGTGACTGTCAAAACCAGAAAAAGGCATGGACTTGGATAACCAAACACCCATTAAAAATCGAAGTTATGGTACCAAGGCACTATATTAATGGGAGCAATATGTCACTGCATAATGCCAACTGACAAAAGCTTTGCTAGTTATTCCACTGAGTGCCCTGAGTACCTTTATGCCATTCACTTGTTTTTACCATTCTCGTAATTCAGGCTCCCCAGAGCATTTACAATGGCATATCAGACAGTAGGCCTGTCCAGAAGAACTTGACTGCTATGTGTGATTAAAACCAGTTGTGTTGCATCCCATCCCTCTTCTCTTCCTTTGATGCTTCTTCCAACTTGCCAAGAAAATCCCTCCTCCACTTGCCAAAAATGATTTGTTCTCTGTGGACATCACCACATCTCACTGAAGTAAAACAGATTACCTTTGATTTTAAGAGGAGGTAATTCTGTTTATCTGAGAGCAATAACAACACGCTGTATTTCAAACATACAGGTTAATACTTGTCTCTTTCAATTGATGTCAAGTAGGCACTCCCAGACCTTTGTACCAAATAAAGCTCATGTTCTCAT